GAAAAGACTGGCCATGAAAGACAGGAGGTCCTGAAGTCTAAGGGTGGATTGATAGAGGTAAACTTAAGAGACTGCAGGATATCCTGTATGACCCAAACACTGAAGGTAATCAAATGGTGGCTACAGTCCCCAGGGTCAGAAGACCCATGCTGCATAAGAGGGTAAGACCCCAGATGTCAGTACAACAAAGTTCTGTGTGGGTAATAGTGTTATGATGCCAAGTGTAAGGGCTTTTTTGGAGATCAAGATGATCATTCTCATGGGGGACTTCAATCACCCTGACATCTGCTGGTACACAATACAGCAATACACAGGCAATCCAGGAGGTTTTTGGAGAGTGCTGGGGACAACTTCCTGGTGCAATTGTTGGAGAGGCCAACTAGGGGCCATGCTACTGATCTGCTTACAAACAGGGACAAATTGGTTGGGAATGTAAAAATGGATAGCAACTTGGGCAGCAGCAACCACGAGATGATTGTGTTTAGGATCCTGAGGAAAGAAAGGAAAGAGAGCAGCAGAGTAAAGACACCGGACTTCAGAAAACCAGACTTCAACTCACTCAGGAAACTGATGTGCAGGATCCCTTGGGCAGCCAGTCCAAGGGGGAAAGGAGTCCAGGACAGCTGGTTGTACTTTAAGGAAACCTTACTAAGGGCCCAGAAACAAACCATCCTGATGTGCAAAAAACCAACAAGTATGGCAGAAGACCAGCTTGGACTCACAGGGAACTCTTCAGTGAGCTAAAACACAAGGGGGTTGATTACACCCACATGCAAGAATACATGAGGGAATGTGTATGTGCACATACAATTACACAAAGGAAGGAATATTTATTATGATCACTTTACATTATGGGTGCTGACAGACATGGGGAAACAAAAAACAAAACAAACAAAAAAAACACTTTACTGGAAGAGGCAGCATGTTAGTTGGACCCAGCTCCACAGCATCTGTATAGGTCAGGCACTTCAGAGGGGCTTCTTAATTAAATCTGCTATTAGATAAAAGTGCCAAAAAAGCCCCGCTGAAGCACCTGATCTATACAGAGGTTGGGCGAGCTGGGTCCAACTAATGTGATGCTTCTGGCCATGCACTGGGCTTGGCATGGGGGCACACAGAATTTAAAGTGCCTTTTTTAACATCCATTTAACTTATAGACTTCATGCACATTGCATACCTTGATGGCTCAGACAAGTTTTTTGTGAAGTAATTATGATTTGCAGCATTTCTGTAACCATCACAGAAGAGTCTCGGAGAAGGATTTGTATGACAAGAGGTTTAGCAGCGACTTAAAAGAATGCAATTGGGAGAGCCACCACAGTGTAAAGGGCTGTGTGGTAAAATGCATGAAGCTGTTGGGGAAGTCAAACAAATGAAACTTCAGAAAAAATAGAGGAGGAGGAAAGACAACAAAAAAGACAGTTTTTTTCATGCAGGTCTCAGGATATAATAACTTGATCACTATTTTTCCTCCTTTTTTGCACAGTATATACACTTTAATTTACATTCAATGATTGTTCTATTCCCTCTCTTAGGTATTTCTGGTCAGCAACTTTTAAGTTGTTACAAATAACTATATAAAAGTGTAGTTATATTCTGCAAATGGACTGTATTGGGTTTCTTGTTCAATGTGATTTAGGCCACGCCTAACACCCAAGTTTTACCATAACAGCTAGGTCAGCTCAGAGATTGAAATAGCATGCCCCTTAGCTGAGGCAGCAAAACCCATGCTCTGGAGACAGGTGTGCTAACTGAAGAGGCATCTGGTAGCAGAGCTTCTGGTCCTCAGGAAGTAGTAGTAAAGCTGGCAGAAACACCCCTTCTGTCACCATATGTTGCATCTCTACCAAGAGCCTTTGCAGCCACAGCTGTAGTGGCAGTTGCCCTTAACAGACCAAACCCTTACAATTAAATTTGCTCCATTTCTGAGTAAAAAAAAAAAAAGATTTAAATACCCCTCACTACAAATCTGAAGGTTGAGTTCAGTTCCTTCTTACTTGCACCTTTTAAGCATTATTTCAGATATTTTTCCAGATATCATCTGAAATGTCAAATCAGAAAGCACATTTTTCTAGTTATTTTCTGACTGTACAGGTGCATCTATACATGCTCATTTAAGGCACTTTAATCCTATGTAAAGCACATTAAAGGCGTGCATCTACACATACAGGCCCTTAATGTGCCTTAAAAATGGCAATTTTAGGCTACACGCACCTCAATTTGATACCTGCAAAAGTAGGCATCAAATTAGGCATGAACAGTTAAGGCACATTAACGTGTGTGTAGACACATTAAGGCGCATTAAAGCTGTGTATGGACTGACATGGGACTAACTTTAGTTAGTCGCGGGAGACAAGGCCAGCTCTGTTTTCAGACAATCAATCAGAGTGCAAATAAAGCGTTACGGACAGACATACTTAGGCTTTTATAATATTAGAATGACTGAACATTTTGAAACAAATTTTCATTTTTCCTACTTTTTTGAAAAATTTAAGTGCAATTAATATTTATAAATGGATTTCTGTGAGTATGTGGTAAAACTGTGCAAGGCCATTAGTTATAGATTCCTATTTTGTGTCTGGACAGTGCAGTTTGTGACACATGAGAACTGTCACCGAGAGAGTTATTACTGTGTTCTTCCCTCAACAGTGAATAAAGGCAAAGAAAAGCCCATGCAATCTTAACTGTACCTCTGTACATATTAATAACAGTGTCACAAACTATGTGGTGGCATACAATTTTTCAAATACAAACTGTTTCCTTAATTTTAGCATACATCCAACCAGTCAGTTTTCTAATATCATTGTTTAATAACAAATTTGAAGATATAAAATTTGTGAATGTCTTGGTTTTCTTTCAATCAATGAGGATGTACCTACATTTAATAAATGTAGTTCATCTGTAATATGGAAAAATGGTGAAGTAAAGAACTGCCAAATGGTCTTGGTGTTCTGTGCAGAAACCTACTTTCAAATAGAAAATGAAGGTTAAGTCAAAAAACAACTTCAAATCTTATACATTTTGTGGTGCAGAATTTAAGAAATACTTGTGCCCTTAATTTCTAACTGTTCTATTAAAATTCCCTTAGACCTAAACTTGAAAAACGTTATACCAATCCCAGGGGGGGTCATCATCATCTCTTTAAATAATGACTAGTTTGGTCAATGAAGAGTCTCAGAAAAAGTACTGCCTTTTTTGAGACCAGGTTCTATACCAGTAAATACAGAGTTGAGAAAACCTATAATACTAAGCACAAACCATCAGGAAACCTGCTGAAAGTCATAATACTTGGGGACGAAAGGAAGGGTGTGCAACCCACCTAAAATTTCTCACTAAAGAAAGCCCAAAACGTTTCCAGTGACCGAAGTCTAAGTATGGGAAATGTTGAGCTAAAAGGAGGTTTTGGCAACAGCTCAATGGGAGATGTCAAAAGTGGACTCAGAATAGAAATGTTCTTAACATGTCACTTTAGTGCTGCAAAATTTCTTCTTGCAACTCCTCTGCATTACTTCTAGAACTGTAATTAAAATCCTTGCCAAAAGCTGTACTTCATGCTTCATTACAGCCCTGACACAGTCCATTTGCAGCCACATTTTCCTTAGTGGGTAATTCTTTTTGCACCACTTGCTCTTGCCTCCATATTATCTTTGCTGGAAGCTGCTAAATAAATGTATGAAGGTGCACCTTACACATATGGGTTTAAAATGTGTGTTTTTATTGTTTTTAGTGTATGGTAGGTTAATTTAATATGCGTATGTAGAAACAATATCTGTATGGAAGGGTATAAAAATAATTTGTGCTGGCTGGCTGTTACTCAGGTAAATGATGATGGCAGGATGAGACAGACTATCAATCTGCAGTCTAGCCCAAATTAAAAGCAGAGTTGTTGTGCTGCCCTAGAGAAATGTGAGGGAAATGCGATGGAGTAATATTTGCTACTTAAACTCCTTGCTGCTCCTGGGTCTAACTATACTTACTATAATGTGTGTTCCTAATGTGCTTGTTTAAACAACATCAATGGGTAAGGAGGACCAGACTCATTCCCCCTTTAATTCACGTCTGTGGATTTAATGGTACAATGCAGTATAGCTAAAGAAGGTATGCTCTGAGCCTCCTTGCTGCTTAGTATCATTATATGGAATGGGTTGCAGCCTGGCCCTATATAATTGAGATATTTACACCTTAGTTAGAAATCTAGCGCAAGCAGCAATTAATTTTAGGGAACAAAAGTACTAGCATAAATGCCAACTGATATTTTGATTTACATAATATTAGGAAGGCAACTGATTGAGGAAGGAAAAAGTTGAATCAATACATTACAATACAAAAACTGGACAAATCAAAAAGTCACTTACCAGTGATCTAAAATAAATCTAAAATGTCAACTGATCTATTCTTATAAAAGTTGCAAAAATGTTCAGAATACAAACTTTTGCTCTACAAGTAATGGAAACTTTGCAATGTTTTAATATTAGCGTTCTGGAGGCCAAAATAACATCTGTGTGAACAGTTTTACTTACAGATTAACTAAACCATAAAAATATTTGAGTAAACTGATAGCATGCCTATGAGCTAAATTTATAAACCAGATGCGAGTCAAAAATTCTCTTCTATATACCATTTCCAACTTTCCAAAATATGGACAGTCTGGAAACATTTAAACAGCATTCTCCTTTTTCCTTCAGTTCCAGTGGATGAAAGGTTTTAATTTCTGATAGCAAAAATAAATTGTGCTCCTCCACCTCTTCAAACGTTATGACTTTTTGCTGTTGCCAGTTTCCCTATAGCTGGGGAAGTTCTTTTATCTAGCTTTCCTTGGGTGATAGAGCTGAGTAGACAGGGTACTGTAGTGGGAACGTTTACATTTGAGAAAGCTTATAATTATTGGACATTGGTCCAATTTGTAAAGTTTTTTTTTAAAGAATTGGAGTGCACTTTAAATAAGCAAATCAATTAAATACATACCATTTTTCAAATACTTGCAAAAAAGGCTCTCTTACCTGATGAAAGAGTGGACTGTGTGTTATGGGGATTCCTAAACCACTGAAACACATTCCAAGGACCATATCATCAGGAGCATCAGTGCTGTAGCATCGGCATTTACTAGCAAGTAGTTTCTGGACTGCTGTTCTGCTGAAAACCATCCTAAATAACATAAACAAATGAAAAGTTATAAAAATGCAATTACTAAATTATAAATAATGTTCATGAATTAAATAGTGCTTGATGCAATAAAATTATAACCAGAAGCGTCATACACTGGCACAAACTACTTGGAAACTACACAATTTGAAAAGAGAGCATTCAGTCTTGGCTTCGTGATATGACTTTTTCTGAAAAATAATTATTTTAGTTAGAGCTATTTTTTTTTTCAATTCACTTAATTATGGAAAATCTTAATGGGTCAACATCTTATTCTGGTGGGAGAAAAGTGGTGGTGGCAGCCCCCCATGGACTAAGCTGCATTATTTTGGCCTGCCACTCCTGAAACATTGACAACCCCTGATTCAAGGCATGGATGCCATCAAAGAACAAGGCTCTGATAGCAGCTGGTGCACAGAAGTCTCATGGCATTTGTGAGCTCTATAACTAAGAATAAACTCTCCTGCTTAACATTCCACAGCTGTTCCTTTTCAGGCAAAACCTGTAATTCCACCTAACCCTATCAACATATCTGACAATCTAGTTGCTACAAACAACATAAAGGAGATTCATCAGACTCTGAGATAGCTATCCCAACCCTCCACAAGAACTCATTACTTTAGCACGATCCTTAAATGGAACCCAGCATGCTAACACTGACATCAAGACAAAAGTCAAGGAAAAGTCTTTGAATTGTCAAGATTAATACTGTGAAAGGCTTTGAGTTAGCAGTGCACATTTAAGGCAAATCTGCCACACAGAGAGTAAAATAAATACAGGGGAAAAATACCATGACAAATAATATTACTGGAAGCAAAAGAGTAACTCTACTAAGAACTTTGATTTACAAAGACCATTTCCTATCATCAGAACCATGCGTGTGGCTGTGAATCTCATCTGTACAAATTTGGTAAATGTACCAAACAGATGCTAGCAGAATGGGCATGGTCAAATTTATCATGAGGATCTTAATTTGAGTTACTGCCTTCCAACCAATACCCTCAAAAACAGGGAGATGAAGCAAAGGTAAGCTTATGCTATATATTTTTTCTGTCTGGAACTGAATATGAAAGAGCTCTGATGGATAGAGATGGTAAAATTTAAAAAATCCAAGTAAATAATAAAAATATTTTAAAAATTGAAGCAAGTACTCCAGCATCAAAAGATGTTTTTAATGGAAGCGGTAAACTGTCTAATTAAGAATGATGAATACATTCTAATGCTATGGGAGACAATAAAAATGCAAGTAAGCTCTTCATGGAGAAAGGACCAGTTTAATGAGTTACATTATTTTGTTCATGGAGAACAGGAATGCTAAATAGTATAAGTACACTCAGAACAAGAAAAATAATTATTTATACTTTAACTTGTTGAGATAAATAAATTCATAGCCCTTGTAATTTGCCTTAAAGCAGCAAGATGGACACAGAACCACAAGTAATAGGGCCTATCGATATTATTTAGATGAAGCTAAATTGACTGGGCCCTATGTAACTAAGGGACCACTTTCTCCCATATCTTCCCTTGACCCCTAAAGTCCACTGAGAGCAACCACCTAAAGTATCATCTGTGCACCAAGCTCTCTTGCAAAAAAGAGGGCATTCTCAGTAGTAGCTCATTTTAGGCCTGTGCGCAGTAGCTAGTATTCACCTCATATTCAGATTCTGCCAATTCGGGGGACAGTGATTCAATTCAATGATTCAGATCACTGTCCTGAATTGATTCGGCCAAATCTGATTTAGAGATTCGGCCGCCGCTGAATCGGGTGAATCAAACAGCCCGCCGCTGAATCGGCTGAATCAAACAGGTCCCATCCCCTGTCTGCTCTCCCAGGCCTGTCAATAGCTACCCCGACCAGCCCTAGCATCCCAGCTCTTAAAAAAAAAAAAAAAAATTTCCACACTCACTGGTTGCTGTCAGGCAGGGGAGCAATCCCCACTGCCCCCCCAGTGCCCTGTGCTGCCATGAGCCCCCAGGAGCCCTGGCAGCCACAGCAGCAGCCGGTGAGTACAGGGCTTTTTTTGTTTGTTTTTAAAAGAACTGGGAGCTGGGGCCAGGTGAGGCAGTCATTGACAGGGCTGGGAGAGCGGGTGCAGGAGGATGGGACTTGGGGCAGAACCCTCCCAAACATGGGGCAATGCGGATCAGCCCCCACACCTATTAGCAGCCGGTATGTGCAGGGGTTTTTTGGGGGGGTTTTTTGTTGTTTTTTTTAAAGTGCCGGGACTCTGGGGCAACCATTGATGGGGCTGGGAGAGCAGGCGGGGGTCAGGGGATGGGGCCTGGCAGGGGTCCCCCCTGGTCCCCTCCCCCCTCCTCCAGCCCCCTACTTACCAGCACGGAGCATGGGTGCAGTCCCCTGCAGCGGTGAGTGGGGACTGCCCCAATCTCCGAAGCTCTCTGAAACTTTTCCGAATCGATTCGGAGAGCTTCACCTTGATTTAGACCTTTTTATTGGTTTCCTAATTCAATTCAGATTCAGAGATTCAGTGACTGAATTGGGCCGAATCTCCTCCGAATTGAATCAGCACCTGAAGCTTTGCACAGCCCTAGCTCATTTGCTGTGGAACTCCCTTTCACTTGTAATCTACAGAGCCAAACCTGGACATCTTCTGGAAGTGCCATAAGACTTTTCTTTATTTGGGCAGACCTTTAACCAGCAAGGTTAAATTGGAAGTTCATACTATATAGCTTATATAACTTATTTAATATTTATTCTGAATGCATGAATTATTCCTTCTTTTATAGTTAGCCACCCTTCCCATTTTTTGGGAAAGGCAGCACAGAGATCTAACAAATAAATAATGATGCATATACTTCCTATAAATCAAACTACAAACAAACCCCATTGAAAATCCATGAGTTTCAAACATAACGACTGGAAAAATCTGCCTACAGCGACCTATCTGAATAAGAAACCATCTTCCATCCAGACCAGCGCTTAATCCCTTGCATAACAATCTGCATATCAAAAAGAGCTTACATTAGAAAAACAAAACCAAACAAGATAAAAAGAGCATAATTTGATTTACAACCTGGGACAAACCAAGCAAACAGTCATACAGATCTCTTCCTTTGATTGTCACTACTTTCTATTATGTCAGTAAATGACTTATGTGATTTACAGTATTGACTGTCAAACATTTGCATTTAAATAATGATTACTTTAGATATCAATAAAAGTACAGGTAAAATAAGTTACCCTCCTCCACCAGTGATATAACTATACCCTCCTGTTCCCAATCCATAGCCATAACGTTCTCCAAGAAAAACCGGTTCATTTGGGTCATAGCAGCTGAGCAGTTTCCGAAGCCTAGAGATGCTAAAATAAGAAAGTCCATTATATTAAAAATAGTTCCAAATCTGATAAAGACATTCTTTATTTATTTATTTTAAAACAAATTTCAAAATCCCTGAAGTTAGTAGATATAAAAGGCATTTTGGAATACAGTACACAAAAATATATGTAAATTGCAGATTCAAAGAAGAAATCAGATCAGAACCTTTTGATGGAAGATTAGAAAGAGGTTTCAGATACAGTTCTTGGGGATTAGCTTCAAATTATGAAGTTGATCATTTAGGAAATATTTCATAAAAGGAACAAGTATGTTGCTCTTGCAAAGTTGAGCCTAATTGCAAAGTAAACACATTAGTATTTTTCCTGGCTGCAAGAATGGTAGACAGGAAAAAATTCTAAGAGCAAAAGAATTAAGAGTGTTAAGTGATCTGTATCAAGACTAGCCATCTATAACAAATACTACTATTATGACAGTAGTTTCAAGAGGCCCAAATAGAATCAGAGTTCCAGAGGCAGTACTTGCCTAATAGTAGGCATTTCCACACTGAGTACTCAAGTCATTTAGGCAGATAAGGTTCTTTCGGTAAATCTGATATCTTTTAGACCGTCTCAAACAGTTGGAAAAATTCTTCTTTGCAAGCTTTTGGGTACAAATACTCTTCTGTGCTCTTCCTGGATAGAATGAATAGTAAAGCTGCCAGAGGCTAGTATGCATGCAAAAAAGCCAGTCAGTAAAGATGTATTCATGCCATCCAGGAAGAGCACAAACATACTTCCTCAGCCTGATGAAGGGTATTTGTACCCAAAAGCTTTCAAAGAAGAATTTTTCCACCTATTTGAGTTGCTCTAATAAAAGATATCAGATTTACCCAAAAAACCTTGTCTGGCTACGTCCTTTGACCAACACATCTACAACCTATACCCCTGAAACAAGTAACTTAGGTCACGCAACAGGAAGCAGAGGTACCTAACTCTAATTATGCTGATTACCCTAAGCAGGACAAGGAACCTATATTTTAGGTGCTGCACTTTCCAAATAGAGGTGATTTGGATCTGGCTGCAAAACCTATTTTAGTCTGTCAGTCATTACACAAATAATACCTTCGTGAAATTTTAGTTTTGTTTATTGACTTAAATCAGTATTGAACATTATGTAATCATACTAATTACATTAAAATTTCATTAATTACCAATTATCTACAAGTAATTTGTCTCTTCAACCTTTGAAACTCTTCCTTAAATAAAATAAATACATGTTTAACCAAAAATAATGGGGACTTGAGTATTGTCGTAGTACTCTTCAAAGTAATATGAATCAATTTTGGTGATACAGTACAGAAAAATACGTAATATAATTATGCTAAATGCAATTCAATGGTAAGGACCAATAAAACTAGGTCCTTGCAATGTAAATGGACTAAACTGATTCTTGTTGTACAATATGGGAAATTACATGAAGTCAGTGCTACTACACACTGAAAATCCTAAAAAAAGCTTGGGAATGATAAATTAATTTCTAAATCTCATCTTCAGGTTAGTGGGACACCAAAAAGGAAACTGATTCCTAACACTATTTTTCCTTACCTGGACTATGACAATATTTTTCCCTGAATTTCAATTTTCACCACCAGGTTAGAGCAATCTCATTATTATATATAACCTGTATGTTTCTCTCTCTCCATCAGGACTATAAAAAAGTCCTAATTTTCCTTGTACAATAACTTGCAAATTCAAACTCTTAAACAGCTGCTTACAGATGTGAAAAACAAAACAAAACAAAAACAAAAACAAAGTTTTACTTTCAACTTGGTGTGCCCCTGAACCAAGCAAAGTGCATGCTCAGAAGAGGCACTGCATTAGTTTAACCCAGCTGGCCCAATGTCTGTATAGATCTTGTGCTTCAGCATGGCTTTTTAGCACTTTTATCTAATAGCTGATTGAATCAGCTTTAGCTAAAAGTGCCAAAAAGCCCCACTGAAGCCCCTGATCTACACAGACACTGGGAAGCCAGATCAAACTAGTGCGCTTTCTCTTCCAGTAAAGTGCTGTTTTATGTTTTTTTCCTGTCTGTCAGTGCCTCATCATCTACATCTGGCCCTCTGCAAATTCCATAACCTGATTTAACCTTAACGATGCTTTTATGATTTTGAGCCATTTCTCCTCACACCCATGAGGATGTGATCCTGATAGAAGAGTATAAACACATAAATCAGACATTTCCATTTTACAGAAGCAATAAGTTCATTTTCTATCTTAGAAAGTGCCAGGTAAAAGATGTGGAATGTGTGACAACACACTGATCAGATTTTCCGCCACAGTAAGTTATTCATTTTATTTTAATCTGAATAACTTTGTGTCAAGCTTCTTAATTTGTTCAAATTCTGTTTTTGAAAAGCAATAGTGTCCCAATGTACATACTTGCTCAGCTTTATTTGTTTAGGCATTTATACCTCACTGATTACTGTAGGATCACTTATTATTATGCATGTGAGTTCTGCAACACTTCCTCCTCCAAATGAGTTGATTGGATTCACCTTATTTTGGACATTTTGACACTTCTACAGTATTGTTCAAATCCTGACCTTGCTTGCTCTTTGAAAGCAGTGATAAAAATATATTAAACCTACTCTAAAAAAGAAATTAAGAATTTCTGGGGTTTCTCATCACTGAAAAAATTAGCTTGTGTTTGAAATTGAGCGCATTTCCTACCAATGACAAGTGCCTAGATATAGGTCTGCATGACTCTGGGAACTGATTCTGAGTTAATGGAATCTCTTTCCTCTCAGGTCTCATTTACATTGGAAATGTACCATCATGCATCTTAGCCTCAGGCTAAGTATAACCACCTAAAACCTCATATGCTTTTGAATCAAGAGATCTCAACATGTGACCACCACATATTCCAGACAGACTGCTAACTTATTACGTGTCTACACCTTTATTGAAGAGTAAGCTGCATTTTTAATACCAGTCAAAGAATGTCTGGAGCAAGGAATCTTGCACCTTTTTCTTTGAAGGAGCATACAAATAAATAATTTATCTATATGTCTTAACATATAACAGCAGTAAATGTTTCTAAAACTCATACTAATACACATCAAGGTAATTTCTGAAATACTGAAATTCATACCTTATTAATGTGTCATCATCCACTATAACTAACCATGGTGTTTTGGAAGAGCTATGATTAAAAAATCTTTCCAAAATGGCAAAGGTTTTTCCACAATGACCTAAAAAAAGAAAGAGATGGGAATAAGAAAAAGAAAAATACATTGTTATTTCTTTAAAAAAAAAATTACTATAAATAGCTATCTAAAACTGAACTGAGTGATACATTTCACTGGATAATGCAACAGTAATTGTGTGTCTACAAGAGTGTTGAAGATCTAGGTTCAAATTTATCTTGTACTGTACTAAGTGACTTGGATTTGGATGTTTCCTACATAATAGTGGTCTCTATGATGCAGCAGACCACTGGGTAGGACATCAGACTATACCTCAAGGGACATGGGCTTTACTTTCAGATCTACCACTGGTCTGATGGATGACCTTGGACAAGCCACTTCACCTCTCTCAGTTTTCCTGTTTGTAAATTGAGAATTCTGAGATACTTCCTTGAACTCTCTGGTTGAAAAGTGCTATTATAACTCCTTTACTCATGAATATTAATTACCATTACACTGCATCAAGTCTGCATGGGGGTGGGAAAGGGGGGGTTAACATTAAGCCTGAATAGGCACAAGCGCCCAAATGAATAACAACAATCATTACAATGCATAACAACAAGGGGACCTGATTGTGGGAGTCTACTATAGGCCTCCCTACCAAGAAGAGGAGAGCAACCAGGCATTCTCCATGGAACTAACTGAGGCAGCCAGCACTAAAGCCTTGACACTCCTGGGTGACTTCAACTACTCTGACATCCGTTGGGAAGACCATTCAGCCAGCTCCAGCAGGTCAACCAACTTCTTGGCAGCTATAGATGACCTGTTCTTGACACAGGCTGTGGAGGGACTGACTGGGGTAAACCCACTCAGGACTTCGTGCTGACCAAAGGGGAAGACATAGTAGGTGACCTGAAGATTGGAGGTACTCTAGGTAACAGTGATCATGATCTGATCAGATTCAACATCCACCGAAAGGCTGGGAATTCTGCCAGCAAACTTCAGAAGCATTTCTGTCCTAGACTTCAGAAGAACAGACTTTGGTAGACTCAGGAGTCTAGTTAGAAAGGCCCTTCGCAAGCAGAGACTGGATGATTTGGGAGTTCAGGAATGGTGGTGCTTCCTTAAGGAGGCAATTCTCACTGAAGAAAGGGAAGAGGGGCAACCTTATAAACCGGTCAGTCTGACTTTGGTCCTGGGAAAAATCTTCAAAAAAATTGTCAAGGAGGCCATCAACCACAAGCTTGTAACTGGTGTGGTATTAAGAAACAGACAACATGGCTTTGTCAGGGGAAGGTCATGCCTAACAAGCCTGGTGTCCTTTTATGACCAGGTTACTAAGCAGCTGGATATGAGACATGAGGTTAACATCATCTACCTAGGCTTCAGCAAGGTCTTTGATACTGTTTCCCATGAGATACTCTCAATTAAGTTGGAGGGTACAGGCCTAAACCAGTCTACAGTGAGGTGGGTTAGCAACTGGCTCAGAGGCTGATCCTAGCGAGTTGTAATCGATGGGATGGCCTAATCCTGGAGGGCCGTCTCCAGTGGTGTCCACCAGGGATCAGTGCTTGGGCCCGTGCTCTTTAACATCTTTATCAATGACTTGGATTAGGGAGTGGAAAGCACAATGATTAAGTTTGCAGACGGCACCAAGCTGTGGGGAAATGCGGACACATCTGAGGACAGGGTAATGATCCAGGATGACCTCGACAGGCTGGTACTATGGGCTCAACGCAATCAGATGAGGTTCAGTAGGGACAAATGTCAGGTCCTTCATCTGGGTAGGAAGAACCTTCATCATAACTATATGATGAGCGGTGGTCCACTGGCTAACACTGAATCTGAAAGGGACCTGGGGCTGACAATCGACTAGAGGATGAATCTGAGCCATCGGTGTGATAAAGTCGCCAGCAGGGCAAACAGAACTCTGGCATGCATCAGCCGATGAATTGCCAGTAGATCCAGAGAGGTGCTCCCCACCTTCTATTCGGCATTGGTGAGGCCACAGTTGGAGTAATGTGTCCATTTCTGGGCACCACACTTCAAGTGGATAAGCTTGAAAGGGTACAGAGAAACACCACCCGTATGATCAGGGTCTGGAGAACAGGCCCTATGAGGAGAGACTCCAGGAACTGGGTTTGTTCAGTCTGAGTAAGAGAAGACTGAGAGGTGACTTGATAGCCACCTACAAGTATGTCAAGGGCAAACACCAAGATCTAGGGGAGCAACTCTTCAGATAGACACCCCTTGGGAGGACAAGGTCCAATGGGCACAAGCTAATTGAGGAAAAATTTAGGCTGAACATAAGGAAAAACTTCTTTTCCGTAAACGTATCTAGAATCTAGAACACGCTCCCAGCAGAGGTGGTGCAGTCACCATCCCTGGAGGTGTTCAAGAGGAGGCTGGACAAGCACCTCGTTGAGCTCATTTGAATCCAATTACCTCCTGCCCATGGCAGGGGACTGGACTTGATGATCTAACAGATCCTTTCCGGTCCTACTATTCTATGATTAACACTAACTCGAGTTCTGTCGATAGCTTTACCTAAGCAACGGCTTAAAGATGCAACATAGTATTTTATGACTGAAATGTGTGCTACGTCTGTTTAGAATGAATATAAAGGGAGAATAAAGAAGTCTTATTTACATTTAATCAGAGCTAAAAATTTTCCCCAGAACTTTCCTCAGAAAAATCAAACTATAAATCACGAACGCAGCCTGTCTTCAAGACAGAGATTTTAAAAGCATTTCAACAGCAATTAAGCACTACTAATACATATGGCAATAAGCAAAAATAAACAAAGGCAAACCATTACATTTGAGATTTTTCCCAAAACGTCTTCTGACAAAAAGCAGTTTGCTTTGTCTCATTTTAAAGCTTTGTAAATATTTTTCCTGACTTTGGAAACCTCTATCGTTTTTGCCACCTATGTTTTGATTTACTGAACTTATAGCAGAAGTTAAAACAAATATTTCCATTTTATACTCTTTTGTTAAAATATAACAAGGGCAATTCAGGTATGAAAAAGTAAGTTTTCAAAATGAAAAAATGCAAAGAAAATGGAAATTAAAATATAGTCTGTTCATTTCGGAAAGTGATAGTAGCCTGTGACAATGAGCAAAAGAAAAATGCTTTATGAAGTATATGCAAGAAGGTAAGAAAATGAAAGCGAATGAAATTTCTGTAGCCATATTGTCAAGAGCTTTTTCTGTAAAGTATGACTTTAAACATACTATGTGTTATGAACTCAAAGAAAGTACTTTACAATTTTGTCACAAAGTCTAAACACATCCATGTTAGAAGTCAGAATACATTTCTGTGAATTCAGATAGCAAAGTATGTTATGCTCCAGCAACCAGCTTCCATTAGGTCTTCTGCTTCAGACCTAAGACTTCCTCATTACTATTGTTAACAGCCTTGTTCAGCACAGGCTTGTTAGAATAGAGATAGCAAAGGGATACATTTCAGTAGGCAGAAAACTCTGTCCACCCTGGCATTTCTACCATGTCCATGCCCATGCCCAGAGTACATATTTTTTAAATCAATAAAAAAAATGATTAATTCTGTTAAAAGAACTGTAATCTCCACTCATAGTTTGTTCTAGATTGTTAATAGGAATATTTTTTTGTTTTTGACTGAAGAGGAGAGTCCTAAAAAGCATAATGCTTCAACTTAACTTACTATACATGCCATAGTATGTATAGTAAGTTTTAATAACTTTTCTCCAACTATTTGGGTTGGTCTAATAAAAGATATCAAATTCACCCAAGGAACCTTGTCTGCCTATGTCCTTAGACCAACACGGCTACAACCTAAACCCCTGTATACATGCCATAGACATTTCATCTGAAAACTTACTATATTTGCATAATGACAATCTGTACAAAGTAGGTAATTAGTCAGAACTCACCTCTGTCAGTATTTGGTACTCCTAAATCTACCGTAGGAATGGAGGTTTCTGCATAATCACTATAGTATTCAATAAGGGCAGCCTCATTTTCCCAGGTCTGCTTTACAATAGGTACTGCAAAATAATTAGCATAATTGAAGCATAAGTGGATTTAAATAGTTGGATCCCTGGTAACTTCTATGTTCATCAACATGGTAAAATGCTGCTTCTTCTTAACACTCATTCTTTTCTTTTCAACATCATTTTATTTACAAACAACTTTTACATGTCTGTGAAAAGCAAGCTAAGGGGGACTAGAACAGTTTAACACAGCAATAAAATATTTCTGACAAAATATTGATGTATTTTCTTTTTATGATGCTGCATAAAAGATTCAGTTCAAAGCTTTTGTGTAAAATGCTTAAATAAATGCTGAACAGGATAAGGAATATATTACATTTACACTTACAATGAGGGACTTGTTTACTATATAGCTGAAATGGCAGTTCCATTCTGAAGTTGTAGTAGACTGAGAACAGTAGAGTTAAGCAATATATACTGTTTTGACTTCAGAAATTACATTAAATGCACCTCTTTAAAGACTGTACCTTCAGTGTCTCATAGTATTTTAAAGCATCTTCTTTTTAATATTCTAAAGTGCTTATCTTTGAACAAGGATGCTTGTGGGTGGTATCTTTTCTTGAACCAACTGTATAGTTAGGAGGGATACAGACGAGCTATCAGGTACCAAGTACCCTTCTTCACGTCTCTGAGAAAAAAATCAGATGCAGCTTGAGTTAAATAGCAGGTAGAACAAAGGCCTCTGCAAAACTCCATGTGGTGTCCTGCCTGATGGTCATACTCTGTAGTGCATACGAAGTTTTGTACAGGCATTTGTTCTACCTGTTGTTTAGCTCAAGCTGTGCCTACCTTTTTTTTCCTCAGGCCACTGACAGACATTCATTTAAAGGTATGATGAGAACTGATCCCTGATCCCAACAACTCTGTCTCCAGCCATGCCACATGTACACAGCAACACACGATTTTGGGATTGGGAATCAGATCCCAGTCGTTCCCTACTTGCCAGTGCAAGGGAAGCCAGGGATCATGATCTTCGGCTCCCCCTTCAGCAGCAAGTTGAAAGCTGGGTGCATGACAATCATCTAGCTGATTGTCAGCTGGCTCTTGGATTCCCCCCCGAGCCAATTGGTGATCGGTTGATCATTTGCTGGATTGGGACCGCGTCAGGGCTCAAACTGATCTCGGTACAATGCCTTGAGCCAGCAGATGGTCAACAGATCATCTGCACCAGGGCTCAAACTGGCACCAGGTGACAATCTACTGATCATTAGCCAACTCCAGAGACTGCACTGGAACCAGTTCAAGCCCCAGTACAGTCCTGGAGCCAGCTGACAATCAGCTGATTGTTAGCCAGTGGAAACTACACTGGGGCTGGCTGGAGACCCTGATATAATCCTAACTCTATCACATGTCCAATTTAAGGCATAATGAAAACCACCCACAAATATTATGCACTTTTGTGCAACATTTTTATGGTTGGTTTCCCTTTTCATGGTGCCATTTTTCCATTTACTTGAATCTAGGACTACTTTGAATTTAAGATGACCCCTCAATAATTAGATTCTATACATGGAAAATTATAAATTTGTGACAATTTTTGCTGTACAAATTAAAAACAGATTCATAAGTTGTAAGGCTGGAAGGGACCTTGGAAGAGTCTCACGTCCAGCCACCTGCACCAAGCAGGAAACAGAACTGCAGGTCAGATGACCCCAGCAAGGTGAATGTCTAGACTCCTCTTCCAGAGTTCTAGGGTAGGTGATTGTACCACCTCTGGGGGGAGCTTATTCCACAGTCTGGACACCCTGACTGTGAAGAAGTTTTTCCTAATGTTGAGCCTGAATTGATCTTCCAGGAGTTTGTGGCTATTACTCCTAGTTTTCCCCTTGGGTGCCCTGGAGAACAGTTGCTCACCAAGCCCTTGATGTACTCCCCTAGTGTAGCGGTAAGCTGCTACCAGGTCTCCTCTCAGTCTTCTTTTCCTCAGACTGAAGAGTCCCAGATCCTTCAGCCTTTCCTTGTATGGCTTGCCTTTAAGACTCTGATCATATGGGTGGCTCTTCTTTTGGCTCTCTCAAGCTTGTCGACATCCTTGTTAAAGTGCGGTGCCCAGAACTAGATGCAGTACTCCAGCTGCAGTCTCACCAGTGCTGAGTAGAGCAGAAGAATCCCTTCTTTGGTTTTGCTGGAGATGGATTGAGTGATGCATGCCAGAGCATTATTTGCCCTACTGGCTACAGCATTGCACTGCCGGCTCATACTCATACTGTGGTCTATCATCGTCCTTAGGTCCCTTTCATTCGTGGTGCTAGTCAGTTTGGTGCCACCAACCCTGTAGGTGTGTTGGGGCTTGCTCAACCCGAGGTGGAGCACTTTACATTTCTCAACGTTGAACTTCATCAGGTTCCAATACACTCAACTTGCTAGCCTGTCTAGGTCCACTTGTATCTGTAGCCTATCTTCAAACGTGACCACATTGGAGTGTCATCTTAAATTCATGCCCTACCAGCCATGGCAGGGAAAGTAGTGGCAAAAGTCTTCCTCAGAGGCCTCCAACCATGTGGTCTCCTCCATAATTCTCCTGCCACCAGCCTTCTCCCCCACTGCCTGACCTACCCCAGCCTGAGGCAGGTGGCAGCTCAGCTCCAGGTTTGACTCCAAGCCCAGGGCCTAATCTGGATCTGAGCCACCACTGCCTGCTCCAGGACAGGACTCAAATCTAAGATGGGCAGGGGGAGGGGAGAGGGAGGCGTTCACCCATGGTAATGGAGAAAAAACTTCATCTTGAATTCAAATAAATATGACAATTCCCTGAACATGTGGCCAGGTTACTATATAAGCTGTGATTAACAGACCATGTAAGGATACTTGGTACCTGAAAGCTTCTCTACATCCTTCCCAACTACACAGTTGGTCTGATAAAATTTATGACCCACAAAAATCACAGTACCATAGTATCATAGTGCTTAGGGTCGGAAGGGACCTAAACAGATCATCAGGTCCGACCCCCTGCCCTGGGCAGAGAGAAATCCTTGCCTCTCACATTTTTACTGGACAATCATAGGTACAACATTCCCCCAACACTTTGCACAGCTATTTATAAAAGGGAACATCTGTAATATAAGCAACTTCATACACCTAAGATTTAAGCTGAATCAGAGGGAGTACTGCTTAATACTTTTTTTCCTGGAAACAACAACTTTATCAAATTGTTACTTCTCACAACATTTTCCAACTGGAAACATAAAATTCATATACTCAAAGATGTCTCGTATCCTAGGCTGAATAAATTAGGAGAAACACAGAAAACTGTATTGACAGGTAAATTGACAGGCTGCCGGGAAGAAGAGTGGCCACACCAATCAGACGAGATTTGATTTCTTCTTATTTTAAAAGTTAAGGAGGTCTGCACCTGTTTAGGATTTGGATGAGCAATTACCATAGAATATCTGGCACCCTAGTCTCTCTGTCTGTTTTACATCTTGTAAGAACATCCCAAATGTTTTGTTAATTTGAGTACCTGATTCTCTAGCTAATCATCAAATAGCCTAGCCACATCTTTTTATTCTTATGTATAAAGGCAATACTTAATTTGATGTTTACTCCCTTGTTTACCTTACCCTACGATGTCCCACTCATACAAGGTCATAGAGGGATTACTTTATTCTTGTAGATACTAATTGGTTTGTATACGGATCAAGATCAACTGAAAGATCATTTCTGTTAAAAATAATGATAGTGAGGCCTGGACACTGAGATAAATAAAATTTGAACATCCAAAGATACTGATTACATTGTAGAGGCATTCTCCTGTAGAGGATAATTTTTTTTTTTTTAATATTTTGATACACTTTTTTAAATGTGTTCAATTCTTCATAAAAAACCCACAGGAAATTATATGCAAAAATTACAGAAATACAACATTAAGGGAGAAATTTGAATTGCACCAAAGTCAGGAAGTCAACAATAACTCTGCCTCATTGCACACAACATGATCACACCACAATTTATCATCTGACAAATATTACAATGCAAATATACTTTATTCTAATAACAGCTAGGCAGGAAATTATTGTTTCATCTTGTGAAATGTTTTTTAATACTTCTGAACTTTTTGACAATGAGAAGAAATCAAGACTCTCTGAAACTCAGACAGAACCACTACAGTATAGTCAATATGCAAATGGTACCATGTTCACTTGGGATATGACAGACCAGCTGCAAGTCCTTACTCCGCCTCAGTCATATAGGGAACTTGAATCTCAACCTCTGTCATTCCAGGCAAGTATATTATCAACCAGGCTACTAACTATTATGGTACAGATTTTATTTTCTGTTCTATTTTGCACCAAGATTTAAGTATTTATTAGAGCATGGAATTGAACCTCGGTCTCCCATGTCCCCTGCAAGTGCCTTATCTGCTGCATAATCAAGACAGTCTATCTCTCTCTCAAATTCCTTCTCCTGTACCTGTCCCACTTTGTATGATCAAACATGGACAGAAGCAGGGACTTGATCCTAAGTCAATACCCAGATGAGTGGCCTAACCAGTAGGATGTTAGGGTGCTCTTTCCTCCTCCTATTCTGACCAAAAATTCCATCCTGAGAGAAGTATCTGTTGAGGCTGGTAAGAACATTCCCAGAAAATTTCAGTTTTAAACGAGTGTCTTCTAAAAAAGAATTATTTACTTTAAAAAAAAATCCTGAACAGCTCTAATTCTAACCATAAATGAATATCCTTACCAATATGTATCACTGCCTGTAATCTGAAGCAAAACCTTAGTGTTGAGCAGTAGATGGAGTATATGAAAGCTTAATTCTGAACAGCTGATTTAAAATGCCCTCTTTCCTAACCTTGGATATGCATTTGCAGCATATTTACATTTTTTTTAATGCAATCATGGGCTGCAGATGGGAGGGTTAAAGAGAGAGAGAGAGAGAGAGAGTGCAAGAGGGAGAGTAAATTGTGGTAGGTTGTTAATTTTAAATGTCCGCACTTACGTGCCATTAAATTCTCGGCCTCAATGTTGCATTAAGGTAGTTTTTGGCATACA